CAACCCCTTTCTGAGGAGACCGACTTTTAAAGCAGCGGGTTTTTTCTTTCTCATTTCTGAAAAGCCTGAAATCCTCCTTTATTTCAATTTATCGCCCTCTGAAGATGGATTGAAACTAAGCTTTTGTTACTTCAAGGCCCTTTGCCAACCCTCTAAAATTCCATACAAGTGTCTTTAACTTGCTCCCGAGCTGGAAGGAGCCGTGTGGAAAACGCTGCTCCTCACGGAAAGGGTGCGTTGCTTCTTCCTGGGAGCCGGCGAGGGCCCAGGGTCAGCCAAGCGCTGCGGTGTCAGGCGTCCTGCCGGCTTCACGTCACTCCCAAGGTCAACTTGGATAAACACAAGGGAGGAGTTTCCTCTTTCTATAAAGTGAGAAAGAAGGATTTGAATTTTCCTTGCTGAAAATCCCTGGTTTGGATGGGCAGCATGCTGCCTGGCCTCAGGAAACCTAAAAACACTGGGATCTTGGGCTTGGCTTTAAGGCTGGGGAGGGATTTGGAGATACAGAGTCTGATGGGCCACAGATAGCATAACCTCACCTGTTTCTTGTGGTCAAGTAAAACACATATATTTAGGGAGAGGTTCAGGCTCGGTTTAGAGAAATGATGCAAGAGGGATTCCCCCAGGAGCAAGGCTCTCATGGGTGGGTTTGAGTGCTGATGGATGCTGCACCGTTATTTCTCCCCAGATGCACCTCCTTGTGGCTCCCTGCTGTTTCTTAAAAAGGGAAGAGGGAAAGGCCAGGGGTTTGGGGAGTGATAGGTGGTTTGGGATAGTTAGGCTGGACATGCTTTTGCAGCGTGGATGGATGGACGCACCATGACTATGCGATGGGTCCCCCACAGCACCAAAGTCCTGATCACATCAGAAACTCTAATCCTCTTCCTTAAAACCTCAGCTGAAGTGAGGAAAGAGTTTTGGCTCTCAATGTAAACTCCCAAATAAGTCCATTCGATTGTCCAAAGACCTAAAAAGTGTTTAACAATGCAATAATTACTCCGCAGAATAAACAGTTGAAGCTAAACACAGTGGGGTGCGACTTGGCAGTCGGGTTCCCAGCAGACGTAATTATTCCCGCTGCGAGCCACCCTGTGTGGGTCCCGCGGGCTGGGAGCTGTGCCACCACGTCCCGGTGCGCTCGAGGTGCCTGGCCTCGAGCAGATGCTTTTGCCCCGCTGCTGGGTTTGCAAGGGAGATGCTGAGCCCTGCATAATGAGCCCGTCTGCTTGATGCTCACCTCCTCCTCTTCACCAAAACTGCCCTCCACAGCTGTCGATACCCATCAATGGCCCGGGGCGTCACTTGGTGCTCCCTGCCGGCGGCACCTGCTCTTCTGCTGCCACGGTTTGTGGCGGGATTTCTCCTGGGCTCCGTTGCTCTTGCAAGTACAGCTTGAAAGACCCTTTTCTTCCCACATGCGTTAGTTCCCACTGCCACCGTATTTAGGTATTTGTTTTTCCTCTTGGCCCTTTGACTTGATTTTTTGGCTGCATTTGTATGAAGGCCGCTCAAGGTGGCTCTGTTCACTCCAGGTGCACGTGGTGCTTTTTACGGCATAATTATGGCTTCTCTACGGCATAATTATGGACAGGCTTCTCTGTGTCCTTGTTTGCAGACTGGTTTCCTGCCCAGTGAAATGGGAATCGCAAGTCCGAGCACGCTTTCCCCTACCGGGGTGAAAGGGGGGTCTCAGTATTTTTCTTACCCCAACAATCCTCGCAGGAGAGGTGCCGAGAGCAACATAGGTGAGTCGCTTCACATCGCTCTGCGGTGCTGCTGGCCCGGATGGTGGGATGGGAGGGCAGGGGGAGAGGGAGCTACTCCTGGTTTGCGACCGTGGGGGCTGGCGGGGTGTCCGGAGTGACACCGAGGTCGGATCTGCCCTTGGAAATCAAAATGCTGATGCTGGGATGTGGTTGCATGGGTGTGAATCTGGCGTTCACTTCCAAAAAAAAAAAAAAAATCCTTGTAAAACTGGGCATTTGCCCTCTTAGCCATGTGGAATTTCCTTCTTTCTGGCAAACATCAGGTTGGGTAAAAACAGCGAATGGCTGTAGGGTCTTCTGAAAACGCCTCCAAGGACATCTTGCATCAGTAGTCATTTCTGCAGATCTTGGGCTGTCTTGGCAATGGTTTTATGGCCCATGGCCCTCTCTTGAGCCTCTGTCTTATTTCAGGCAAAAGTAGTGGCCAGAAATAAGATGTTCAGGAGCAGAGTGAGGTCCTGGCTGTCTGGCGGCTGTTTTCCCCCAGGGCTGGCTCTCTTCCTGCGCAACTGCATGGATTGATACTGCAAAGCAAAAGTTATCCATATCTGAATTTACCTGGAAAATAAGCCATTTTGCTTTTAATGAGGATTAAGGTCAGGTGCCAAATGAGTTTTTGAGCGTAGACAAGCCCCAGTTCTCCAGAAGTTGTGTTTCTTGTCATAGTCCCCTCCCCACCCCCTGAAGTTGCTTTGTTGCTGCTATTTTGGGCTTTCCCCAACAAACGAAACCAGAAGCAACATAGCGTTACATGTATTTTTTCCAGGGCTTTTCAGAAAAATGCATCTGCTTTGATACTTGAAAGCTAATTTGCTGCTTTAAAATGTTACTGTTTTAGGTTTTCGGCCTGGGAATTTTTTTTTTTTTTTTTTTTGCATTGGCTCATTCTGTGTAATGAATTTCTCCTCCTGAACTACAACCGGGCAGAGTCCCTGGCTCAGCAGACTTGCTGTGTTAGCATCCCGCACCCCCTCCCTTTCCCAAGTGGGGCTTTCATTAATTATGAACCACAAAAAAAAGAAAAGAAAACTCCAAATTTTTAACCAGCACTTCCTTTCGAGCTGTTCCTCAGGATGCTTCCCCCCCCACCACTACCCCAAATATTTTCATGCCTTCCCCCCAAGCTTTTCCTTCCCTCACGACATGATATCTTTCTCCCTCTGAGCTGGAACCTGAGTGAGAAAGCTCTGCTGAGATTGTGGAATGACCAGACCAGGGCGAATGCCCACCTTCTCGAGGCAGTGAAGATTTCCCAAGCAAATTATTTTCTTAGGAGCAAATGAAAATACAAACCCAGCACTGCATTTGTTCACTTTCTGGATCCTTTTTCCACAAACCCTCTTCAAGATGAACCCATTTCCAAAAAGCAAGGATGGATGATTTATGGGCAGGCTTGGTCTCCTCTAAAGAGCAAGTGCAGCCCTTCTCGGCTTGACGAGCACCTCTTGTCGTGGGAGAGGGACTTTCCTATGAACTCAGTTTTGCCAGGTGAAACCTGCCCACAAAGGGTGCAGGCAGGATGAAGAATCTGTGACAGGAGAAGCAGTTCATCCTCAGTCATTGTCATTATTGATACTTCTTTGGCTATTAGGTGTTTGAGATTTGAGCAGATACTTGCATCTTCCCTGGAGATATTCAAAACCTGCCTGGATGTGATCCTGGGCAATATACTCTAGAGGACCGTGCTTGAGCAGGGAGGTTGGGCCAGATGATCTCCAGAGGTCCCTTCCAACCTAAACGATTCTGTGATTCTGCCCTTGGAGATTTTAGCTATAGCTTGGTGGCTAGTCCGTTTTCCCTCCCGGTTGCATTTGGGAGTAAGCCATCTCTTCCAAAGTTAGATCCTCTCTTGTTTTCTTTACACCAGATGGACAGCCCAAAAAGGTTCGGAAGGTGCCTCCTGGACTCCCCTCCTCGGTAAGTGCTGTGGGCGTTTTCCCTGCGTTTTTCTCACCCCACACCCCGGTGCGGTCCAGTGCCCTGACCTTTCCCAGGGGTTTTACGCTCTGCCATAGAGACATCCTGCCACTAGGTCCTAAACCTTCTCATTTGTGTGCCTCAGCGCTTGGGTTTTAGCCAGATGGGGATGGATTTTGCTGGCTGCAGCCTCCTACGTGGGAGAAAGGGGAAAACACAGCAAGACGTGGGCACCGTACTTGGAGGGAAGGGATTGTAGCGCCACCTGCGCAGAGTGTGTTTGCCCCTCAGAAAAGCTCACAGTGAGCCAGGAGCAGTGCTGGCCCGTCGTCCACACCCGGCCCACGTTTGCTGGCTCTCGTCTGTTTGACGTTATGTCGCGAGCGCCCCAGTGAAATGTAATACTTGGCCGTGATCGGATTTCACTTCAGAAGGGGAAACCAAGCTGGCTGTAACGCGGGCAGGCGGCTGGGGCCACTCCAGGTGTGCGCGCTGCCTGGGTTGTTTTATAAGAAAGCCAAGCAGCCTGTAGGAATATGTTAGCCATACTTCTGCGGCTGTTATAGGGGAATAAACTGAACAATGTCTTTGTGGCTAGAAGTAATGGGATCTCCAGGAAAGCTAATTGGAGGGGATTGGAGGGTTCCTGCAGGAAAATGGGAGCTGCTTGGCTTTGCAGAGATGGAGGCTGCATTCCTCACCGGAGCGTTTGCATGCTTGCTGAAGGACAGGCGGACTCTGTCCCGCAGGCAAATCGCGGCTTAGGTTTGGGCTGCGTTGAAGACATGCTCTTGCCTGAGCGCGCCTTACTGCCAAAGCTGAGGTTGATGCAATGTGGAGCGCACGCACGCTCCCTCCTGCTCTGGGGGACACACATGCGCATCCACCCGTACAGGAAATTCAACACTGCGGCGTTCCCTTCATGTGAATTTGAAGCCCGTTCTGCAATCTGCACCCCTGCATCATGAACTGATCGCTTAGCTGCAAATTTTGGGATGACAGAGGGACAACGTGGGGAGGCAGGCGTGCTGGGGACTCGCTCGTGGGGGCTCTCAGAGTGAAGGATGTTCGGGGGTACCTGGAAGGTACTCGGGAAGGCTGAGTTGCTCTAAGAGTATATGTTTTAATAGGAAAAACCTGCTTGAAGTAGAATTCACGTCCCTGCTTCAGGTTTTGGTGTGAAGTTCGGAGCTTCTAAACGCCAGTCGCCATGTGGGGAAAACATTGCTCCTAACAAATGGCCGTTTATTGGCCTCGAATTTCAAAGGTGAGGGAGATTGCTGCCTATCGTGCTAGTGGTGCCCTAAAGGGCCCCGATTCCCACAGGAAGAGGCGCTCAGCACTTGCTGAAATTCCGGCCCTTTCACGTGTCTGATCCGACACCTACCTGCAAGCTCTTCCAGCCCAGAAAACGTTGACCGTCGCCTTAGCTGGCCCGTGACCAGCAAGCTCACGGTCTTGCTATCTGGCCTTGTGCTACCCCAACGCCCAAGCAAACATGGAGGTGCTGCCTGCCTGCATGGCTTTTTAAAGCAAATAAGCAAACACGATCCCAGGCTTGTGCAGCCAACGGCCGGGCTGAATGTGCATGCGGCTCTGCAAACAGTGTGCCACTGTTGTAGGGCTGCAGCTCAACCTGTCCTCTCCCCCCGGCCCTGGCGAGGAGGGAGGAGGCTGGAATTTGCTGCGTATAATATAACCATTCTGCGGCGTTCCCCCGAGGAGGCCATGGGGTTATGTAATACTTAGCAAAGCGCAGCAGCCCCCAGATCGTGGCAGCGAGGGACAGGGCGAATGCAAACGGCTGGGTGTGCGCACGTCCACCCTTTCCTGCCCTCGGAGCAGGCAGCTCTGTGAAGATCTGCTCAGATTGGCTTTTTCATGCAGAGAGCGATTTCCCTGCACGGAGGGGCAGCTGAGTTTGCCCTGCTTTTGCATTGACCTCTAGCTTTTTGGGTGGTGGTGTTTTTTTTTTTTTTTTTTTAACTTCCACACAGGGAGAGGGAAATAGGCAGCTAAGTGTAGAACGAAGCATGTAGCAAAAGGCCCTTGCCTGCCTCAAAGGCAGCAGATCAAAGGGTCTTTCTTGCCTGGCTTGCCTGCAAACATGCGGCAAAGGAGCCCACTCCATGTTATCGCTGGACCCTGTGCAAAATAAACAGGTTAATAAGCATCTTATTAAAATAAAGTGCTTTAATCTGCAATTCCATAGCTGCTGTGAAAACCCGGGGTGGTCAGTGGGCGAAATAGCTGAGGGTGGCTGAAACGGGAAAGGTTCTGCCAAAGGCACCGAGAGGCAGAAATGACGGTGGAAGGTTCATGAGGGACGTGGCGAGGCAGCCGCCTGCAATGCTGGGCAGGGACGGGCTAGCTGCGTGCGCCTGCCAGGCAGGTCTGACAGTGGACCGCTGTGGCCTCGCTGCGGGATACAGCTCGCGCTCCTTTGGGGTTAGGTCTTGTGAAATTGGTGGTTAGGTACTGGGCTTGGGTGGTGGGGAGTGCTGCCTCCTGTGCTCCTGGGGCGCTCGTGTGCATGCATGTCGCCGCACGTCCCCCTTCCCCATCTCCTTTTGCTCTGCTAGAGTATCGTTTTATCTCTTGCGATCATCTGAGCAATAACGTAAGGTAGGTCATAACTGTGCCTGGCTGCTGACAGCATATTTTGTATGTTATAGAAAAAAGAGGGTGGTCCTCAGGCAGAGCAGTCTATGTCCGACTCACCCCACAAGGAATCACCCTCACTATTTGCCTCCAGGGAGCTGAGCATTTTGCCTCTGGTTGTGGAGTGCTTTGAAAGAGTATGGATGCAGCAGATATGTTTGCCTCAAGATCCAGTTAGAAAAGTACAGCTACAAACCTCGTGTCTGTAACCCCCAAACACCATCATTTCCCTGCACCTTCCAGCTCCTCCACTGCATGGAGGAGTCTCCTTGGATGTAGCCAGCATCAGCCACATCAGTCAGGCGCCTTTAAAAATATGCTCTTGAACATCTTGGTTTGCTGTAACCTTGGTTCAGCAATGGGCCGGTGTCTCAATTTAATTCCATTACGCTTCTCCCTGTATTCTTGATGGGTCTGGGCTGGCCCTGGAGCGTGGAGAGTTTTTGAGCCTCTCTTGCTGCATCAGGACCTGTTTCAGAGCTGGAAAACAGGGTTGTTCCTTGCATCTGTACTCCCCTGCATGCTGGCAGCCACCCGCTGCCACCTTTTGCCATTTAATGCACCTGCTTTGCACAAGACCTAGGTGAGACCCCCCGAGCCCCAGCCCCAGGTTGGCCAGCTTTGCTGGAGGTTGGAGGCAGCCAGGAAGGGGGTTTGTGCAAGTTGCTTCCTACAGGGTCTCTTGCTAGAGAAAGCATGGCAGCTTGGAGTTTTTTTAGCACGTAAATTCACAGTCCCACCACGGTTTCTGCGCTTGAGCAAGAAAAACAGAAGGGAAAAAAAAAACCTTGAGGATCCCAGCACTGGGGCTTTGAACGCAGCTCCTTTGCGAGCCCTCTCCACGCTAGCAGTGCAAGCAGAGGAAATGACCTCACCTGGAGGTCCCTGCGGCCCAAGCTGCTGGCGCGAGGGCTGGGGCCGCTGGGTGGGGAGCAGAGACCCAGCGCTGATTTACTGCTTCCTGCGGTGCTTGGCCAGAGGCCGCTGGCTCGCTCGGCTCCCTGCGCACCCCGGTGTTTGCCCGCTCCTCTTGCCTGCTTTGCGTGCTCACTGACAGGGCTTTGGGCAACGAGGCGACATAGGAGGTTGCTGCTGCCCCCTCGGCGGTGCGCTGCTCCGCTTGCAACCCTCTAAACCCCAACAAACAGCCGAGAGGGGTTTGCAGAGCTTCCTCTCCACTGAATGGTGCAATGAAAGATTTCATCTTTGCTGGAAAAGAGCTCTGCTGGAAAAGAGCAGGACTGAAATTCTCGTGCATCTCACAGCGTAAGACAAAATAAGTTTCCCTTCCCATCTCCACACTCAAAGCGCAACCCCCCACTTTAGTGGCAGTGGGGCCCTGCGGGCAGGTGCCAGGGGGCTGAAACCCGACTCCCAGGATTCAATAAGAG